ATCCAGATTGCAAACGGCGATAAAGCAATGCATTAGAAAGAGAGCAGATTTAACTGAAAAATATGTTGTAACGCTCTATAGTGGTTTTGTTTAATTTGCTGCGATTCGTATTCAAACTCACTTTCTAGAGAAAAGTGGATACATTGTTTAACGTGCAGTGATTGGGCATTTATTATGCTTAGGTAAAGATCTCATATCATCCCATGGGTGTCGTAAAAAGCGACACGGGGACATTAAGCAGCGGATGGGCAACAGCATCTCCTTAATAACAACAAACATACATAAACACTCACGCCTGTCACCCAGAGGGGTAGGCAGAGACTACAGTCTTCCATTTAGCACGATCCTAACATACCTCTCTCGCCTCTTCCACATCCATATACCTAGGCATACATGCTCGTCGGTTAAGGGTACTCTTAATTTGGCCCATTTTTAGTATATCGCCAATTTGGTCGACAAACTTCCGCCTAGGACGTCCCTTTCCAACTCTTCCATTCACTTCTGCAACATATATTTGCTTTGTCAGTCTTTCCGCATTCATTCTTTCTACATGACCAAACCACCGAAGCATTCCTTTCTTAATCCTGGTCACTGCATCATCTTGCAAACCACACTCTTCTTTTATCACACAGTTACTCACCCTGTCACTCAGATTCAACCCTAACATACTCCTTAGCGACCGCATTTCTACTGCATTTATTCTACTCTCGTGCTTCTTCTGCCACACCCAACTTTCACTACCATATGTTAAAGTAGGGACTAATACAGCATTGTGAATTGCCATACGTGCCTTTTTTGACACATTCTGACTTTTCACAATAGAGTGTAGAGCCCCATTTACTTTATTTCCTGCATTCACTCGTCGTTCAATATCCTTATCATATCTCCCATCCCTGCTGAAAATCCTTAATAACAACTCTAAATAATAAAAAAAACTAATTGCCAACCCGCATGCCAAGGGATAACTATGGTAAGTATATCCCTATGAGCAAATGCATGTGGATTTTTAATAGGCTCATATGAACAAACAAGGTTGTTATAACAATAATAAAGCCATTTATTCCATATCTTCACTTTCTTTTTACAGTTCAGTATTTGTTAATAAGTTATAGCAGAAAATTAAGAAAGAAATACTTATAATTAATCTTATTATTGTTTATGAGATATGGGCCTCTGTTTGGGCAAAGGCCTCCTCCAGCCTTTTCCATGACTCCCTGTCCTTGCCTAACTTCATCCAGTCGTTTCCTGCGACGTACGTTACGTCATCAGCCCACCGTCTTAATTTTCGACCGACATTCCTTTTCCCCTTTAGTCCTTTCCACCATGTGGCTTCAATGGTCCATCTTCTACCTGGGTATCGTGAGATGTGCTCGGCCCATCTCCACTTTAATAGGAGTGCGTGCTTGAGGGCTGTAACTTTAGTTTTTTGACGAATGACTTGGCTCTTAAGTTCCTAATTTTATGTATTCTTCTAATTCCCAAGATGCTTCTTTCCATTGCTGTTTGACTGCATTTGATTTTTTGTTTAATTTTGTTTGTGAATACCCAAGTTTAGCAGCCATACAGCAAGCAGGGTAATAGGCATGTATCAAATATTGTACTTTTCATGTGCAAGTCGTAGTCCCCTTTTAGGATTTCCCTTAATGCCCAAAATTTCTTCCAAGTTGCGTTAATTCTTCTTGTTACTTCTTCTTCATTGCTTAACATTTTAAATGAAAATTTTGTTTATCCAAGCAGATATATTCATAATACATCTACTTGCTACTTGGGTAGTAAAATTGTTATCAAGAATAAATAATTATGAGTAAAACTTAATAAAAATTTTCCTGTGTTGTGTAATACTCAATGGTTGATTTTTATATAAAAACCAATTTGTTTAATTTATGCTTTACTTTTGATTGTAGATGGTGAATAAATGAAACAGAATAACTTAACTCAAGGACAACCAACTCCATGGCTAGGTTAGCTTTTATAAAAAAAATAATCTAGAAATGAAACTATTATCAGTACATCAAGAATTTAAATATATTGTGAAATATCCAGAAATAATCTTTCATAAAGTATTACGTTACCTATTAAAATACTTCATTTTCATAATCAAAACAGCGTTGTTTTAAAAATCCCAACTTCCAGCATCGCTGTGCCTATATAACTATTTTTATTCCATTACAATTTTAAATGCTGATTTTGTACGCCCAGGTGGTGAAGGAAAACATCGATTGAAAACCTGCATGTTTAAAAAACAAAATACTTCGAGGACCATAATGCGAATTCCTGCATGTCTTACCAGGCCTTCACTCCATCTAGTGAGGGCAGCCTCACACTTCCCTTACCGGTAAAAAGCTGCCACTCGAGAACCTTTATTCCCCATCGATTGTCGGTTCATGTAGTGCAGGTGCTTAAGACCGTACTTTGTGGGATTTCTTGGACCTATGTTCAGCAGTGGACTTGTGAAGAGTTGTAATGATGATGATGATGATGAATGTGACGTCCGCTAACACGCATCAGTGCGGCGGACTAACTGCAATTAAATACAAATATATAAATACTATACGTGTTAGAGCCATGCTGCAGTTATATTAGTAGTATAGTTGTAGCACGAATGGGTCGGCTCGGCCGGGGAAGGACCACGCTCTCACAGAATACCAGCGTAAAATAGTAGGTTAATATTGCTGTGTTTCATATGGTGAGTGTAGAGAACCGGAGACCCTTTTTACTGGAAACGAGGCATTCCATGGTAGTCCTCACGGGTGACAACGCATATTTACCATCAGGTGGACTATGTGCTCGTTTGTCACCCTATCCTATAAAAAAAAACTAATCTAACTATATGAAACTTCAAACCCTCCCATAAAAAGAAACGAACGTAGGCAAAAAGAAAAAAACACCCCCCAGTTTGTGTGCGTGAACGTGAAAAAACTGGAAACGGCGCAATCCATCTTAGTATGAAAACGTGTCTATATTTTGATTCCTATTCAAGAATAAATATAGACATATTAGGGCCACAGCATCCACTTACCACCCGGTGAACTGTGCGCTCGTTCGTCTACTCTTATTCTATAATAAAATGATGTAAGCTATGTTAAATGTTATAACTGATAACGTTATAGTTATTGTGAAAATGGTAATGAGTTGACGTGATCGCGATGAAAACTGAAATAAATTAATGCTTTTCAGTAATGGGCGAATTTTTCAGTAATTAGCGCTAGGAGATATGTACTTTTGAACCGTACAAATTGTATTTGCAAAACTTTATTTATATTTTAATTAACGAAGTAAGTCCTACATTAAAACTACTGTAATGAATAAATATACATTACGGGCTATCAAGAGTTCACTGCTTAACATAACCCTCTAACCAGTCGTGTATATATATATATATATATACACGACTGGTATAATATAATATATATATTTGATTAATTCGAGCCGTGGTAGCCCAGGGGCTAAGGTCTTGCTGTAAATTTCACAGTAGTTGAGCAAGCCGGGATCACCGCCGGCACCAATGAAAATGTTAATTGAAAATTTTAGCGCTGATTTAACCACGTTTTACACGTTCTTAGAGCTATGATACAGTTATATAGTGGTATAGTTGTAGGACGAATGGGTCGGCTCGACCGGGGAAGGACCGCGCTCACAATTTGACTATAAGTCCGCCTAGCTCAGTATGCAGAGCATGAGACTCCTAATCCCACGACTGGTTAGAGCCCCATATTGAGCGATTATTAGCTTTTAAGAGATTTTGTAATATAATAATTTTTAGAAATAACTCTTATACGTATAAAAAAAATTTTTGTAGAAGTAAATTTTAATCAATGTAGGTTATTTTATTTTCATTATAGTCATATCAGCTATTTAGCTATGAAATAGTCGTTTTGTATTGGAGCACTGAAATATTTTTTATAGTTTTAACTAATTAAAATATTTATCTAAACACATTCTTAGAATTTAATTGGCAGTTTGTTGATGCCCTTGCTATAGAAGTGTGCTATACGAGAATCGATTTTCTTTTACTGCTTTAGTGGTCATTGATATTGCGTGCTATTGTATTGAGATGCATCGTTTTCACGTCAGTACTCGTATTAAAAATAACACAAACTTTCTTAGAGTTTATAAAATATATAATAAATATAGAGATATTGCAGTTAAAACAAATCCCAAGGCAACACATGAATTACTTATTTTAAAAAAGTAATAAAATGCAATACATTTAAAATTTATATCTGAACTTAAAATTAAAAAGAAGTTAAAACATAGCTTAAAGTTCAAAATGGCTAGTTCAACAAAACGGCAATTTCATGGGTAAATACCTAATATTTATAATCAGTGAATGGGTATATTATTTAGTTCAATTATTTAAGTTTCATTTAATTAAAATATGCGACAGTAGTCTTTTGGTAAAGGTGCGGGTTGCAAACGCAGAAAATCCTAGGTTCGAATCCGCCATTCCACTATTCGACTAATTTGGCAATTCTATAACCTTGTATTTGTAATTAATAAATATATTATTTTATTTAATTATATAAGTTACACTTCATTGTAATGCAATATGGTTGAAGGTGCGGGCTGCAAACGCAGAAAGTTGTGAGATCGAATCCGCCATTCGATTATTCGAATTTCATAGTCAAAGACCTAATATCAACTAGAATGGTTATTTTTTACTTTTCCAATGTTGCGACAGCTGTGTACTATTTGTTTTGTATTTAGTAAGACCAGATCACTGCAACCACTATGATCTGTTAAGATCGCTGCTATGGCTATAGTTCACTGCTTAGTGATAGATCTTCAATGATTTGAATGAGTTGCTTAGTTGTGATCATTTTCACTTCTTTTGATATTTACTTTAGTTCATTTCTTAATTAAACGGCTAAGTGGTAATTTTGCGCATTAAGGATTCGTAATCAGTTATGCCATATGTTGATGTGTTATTTATTTTTGTCAATTATACAATTATAATTGTAAAAATCACTTAAAAGCGAAATCGGAAAATAAAAGTAAAGTTACTTACCTGCAATTTTCCGCTCTCTCATTTTTCTCCACAGCTGCTCGGCTTTTCTCATCGGCCAGTTTTCAACTTTAGCACTAAAACTTCTAAAGAACTTGTACTCTTTAAAATGCGACATTCTGCGCTCCATTTTACTAGGTGCGTGTCCTGACGGTGGTGGCGATGACGCTTTTGGTGTTGTCGACGGTGACGCCATATTGAATATCAAACTTAGACTTGCGTTTACGAAACAATTTTTGTTGTGTTATATATATTTATAGATAGTTTAATTTATCCTTAGCTTAATTCAAAAAAAACTTCGACGTGTTTATATTTACACGTCAGTTTTAGGTTTTTAATCCTTTGAGCTGCCATTTGCGTTGTCTACTTTGTATTGAAACAATTTAACAATTTAATTAAAGTATTCACTAACTTTTTAAGACACGAAATCGACATTTATATTTAATGGTGATTTTATCTATTATTATATTGATTGAATCACTTAAAATTCCCAAGTTCTAATAATAAAGATTATCCAACTATTAAAAACTAACCCAAGAGTGTTTACGTTAGTAAAAATAAATTTGTAAATATAATCTCAGCACTTGATCATCTAAATATTTATAAGATACTTTTGGCAAAGAATGTCGTAATTTTACTCTAAAACGCTTCTTTGCGCCATTAATTAACCTGAAACAAAGAAAAATGCGTTAAGTGTTGATATTTTTTTTGTAATACAACATAAACATAAATGTAGAAGAAGTTGGAATTTATAAATAATTGAAAGATTACGCCTCCGCATTGATTAGAACAAGTTGCAAGCATCACTTTATAGTAGTCACATAATTAAAGTATAGTTAAATACTATATACGTCCCACCGATGGGCACATGCTTCCTCTTCGACTTTGAGCGTCGTCATACTGCCAGCAGTGAAGGACCACGTCTCAGTTCCGTATGTCATTACTGGCAACACGCACTGGTTGTACAACTTAGTTTTCAGGTTTTGAGGTATACCTGACGAGAAAATGTGTCGTAATTTCCCGAACGCTGCCCAGCCGAGTTGAATCCGTCGATTGACCTCTGGGTCGAAGTTGGACTTACCTAGTCGGACTATTTGTCCCAGGTAAACGTACTCGTCAACAACTTCGAGCTTAGGGATCCCAACAACTACGGGCACAGGTGTGACATGGACCTTAAACATGATCTTTGTTTTGTCCATGTTCATCTTAAGCTTATCCGTTGGGAGGCACTATTGAGGTCATTGAGTATAGTGCTTAAGTCCTCCAGCGATTCTGCCATAAGGATCGTGCCATCGTCGGCAAATCGAAGGTGAGTGATGTACTCGCCATTGATTTTAATACCGTATCCTTTCCAGTCCAGTAGCTTAAAAACGTCTTCCAACGCAGCGGTGAAGAGTTTCGGGGATATAACATCACCCTGTCTTACACCTCTCTGCAGTTAGATAGGTTTCGAACTCCGGTTCTGTACTCGGATAGCCATCGTAGCCCTTCTGTACAAACACTTCAGCACTTCGATATACCGACAGTCAACTTGGCACCGCTGAAGGGACTGTAGCACCGCCCAAATTTCGACGGAATCAAAGGCCTTCTCATAGTCCACATACGCCAGGCAAAGTGGCATATTGTACTCTTCGGACTTCTGTACAATTTGCAGAAGGGTATGTATGTGGTCTATGGTACTAAAGCCTTTTCGGAAACCGGCTTGTTCTGCGAGACGGTTCATAATGACTTTCGAAAACAGCACGTAGACGCGGCTCAGAAATGATATCGGTCTGTAGTTATTCAAGAGGGCGTTGTCACCTTTCTTGAAGAATAAGACCACTTCACTTCCACTCTATGCCTCGGGAGTAGTGCCTCCATGGAGGACGGAATTAAAGAACTTCTGAAGGACTTCAATTACCGATTTTCCACCCGCTTTCAGAAGCTCCGCTGTAATTCCATCCTCGCCCGGGGACTTGCCATTTTTAAGGTGCTGGAGAGCCATTGTAATCTCGCTCAGACTGACGTCCGGGATATCATTGGAATAGTGTTGTATAAGACTTGCTCTTGGATCGTTACTCACACTTGCGTGTGGCTCCAGCGATGAGGTATACAGCTGCCCATAGAACCTCTCAATCTCACTCAGAATCTCAGATGTCCCGGAAACGATGCTGCCACACTCAGTCTTCAGCTTTGACAGTTGGCTTTTTCTGGCAGACAGATCTCTGGTAGAATTTGGAGCCCTGGTTCCGCTCGATCGCTTCATCAATACGGGCACTATTAAAGTTGCGTAATTTCAAAAAAATTGTAGCCTTAACTACCGTCTAACAGCCATGAGATTAAGAGTGTGATCGGAGAGTTTTTGTGTTCATCTGCGGCGGGTTTTGCAGAACTTAGTTCCAACCACATGGACAGTTTCCATGAACTTGTCATTCATATCGTCCACTACATTGCAATCTTCTAGGCACTGAAAGCGGTTTTGTAACTCGATCTGAAAGGTTTCGGGATTTTGGACTAGAGCACGAGGGGGACGAAGCGTTGATTTCATTAGACGAGATCTATCGTACTAACTTCTGCGTCGGGTCTTGTCTTCATCTCAAGTAGAAAATCACTACGAGTACTTAAAATTGTAATAAACAATTTCATTGGTGCCGGCTCAGGTTGAAGGTTGAATGAAATCATATACATGACACGTCAATCGTGTCATGTATATGATATAATGTTTTCCTTCACCGCCGAGGAAGTGATAAATCAGCGCTTGAAATTGCAATTAATAATTTCGTTGGTAACTAAAGTGAGTTAGAGCTAGTTAAAACGTGGTTAACACCCATAGCCGCAGCGCAACAATCTTTGCGAAATTTCACGTTCGCAGTCAAATTCCAGGCTTGAGATTTAATTTCAAATATTTTCCAAGTATCTTCATCTTAAAACTTCTGGTATTAAAACTAAGACTAATTACAAAATACTTTTTGTAATTAAACTGCGTAGATTAACTTCATGCTTTAAGTGTAAGCTCCCAAAACTAAGTTAAAAATTTACTGTAATTTACAGTACAAATCTCACCATCTCATTTTAAACAATAACTACGAGTATAACATGCCCTTTTTAAGTATCCTATACGTTAGTTAAGGATAAGGTCTCTATGTGCCAAATTTGATCCAAGTTCACTTAGCTGTTATTGCGTGTATGAGTAATAAACATCCAAAAATAACCCCAGGAAAGATGGAACTGAAAGAGTCGTAGCTGTATTCGCGAACTCTCACACGTACTAACATTCTAGTGCCCAATGTAAAGCTATAGATCAGTGAGATCGGTAAACCCGTGCTATAAGTAATCAACATCGACGGCTTAGCAATGAGTGGCTGCGCTGGGGACCGAGGGTTCGAATCCCGTATGGAACAAGTATTTGTATGGCCTAAAAATAATTGTTCCGGTTTGAAATAGTGTGAGTGAGTTTTTGGAAGCACTATGCTCGAAATCGTTGACGAGTACGTTTACCTGGGACAAATAGTCCGCCTAGGTAATTCCAACTTCTACCGAGAGGTCAATTGACGGATTCAACTCGGCTGTCCGCGTTAGGTAAATTACGACACATCTTCTCGTCTGGTATGCCTCAACTCTGAAAACTAGATTGTACAACCAGTTCGTGTTGCCAGTAATGACTTACGGATCTGAGACGTGGTCCTTTACTGCTGGCTGTATGAGGACGCTCAAGGATGCTCAGCGAGCTATGGAGAGGGCTATGCTCGGGGTTTCTCTGCATGATAAACTCAGAATGAGCATATTCGCAGTAGAATCAGAGTGACCGACATAGCCCAACGGATTAGAAAGCTGAAGTGGCAATGGACCGGACATACAGCTCGAAGTACTGACAACCGATGTGGAAGAAAGGTTCTCGAGTGGCAGCCTCGTACCGGTAGGCGTAGTGTAGGGTGACTCCTCCACTAGATGGAGTGACGACCTGGTAAGATATGCAAGAAGTCGATGGATGTAGATGTTCAGCAGTGGACTTGTGAAGGGCTGTAATGATGATGATGATACTCGTATTATATATAGAGGAGGTATGTATTAGATGGAGGATGTATATACCTACTATATGACTACTTTTGTTACATATTATTATTACTTTTTAAAGAAAAGTGTTATAATAATAAAATAGGACATTTTTTATTTAATTCTAGGCGAATAATTAAAATTTTTTTATTTAAATTGACTGATACAGGCATTTAATTTTTCTGGCCACCAATTTACATATATACGCTCTGTCTTCATGAGGCTTCATGAAGTTACTGCTAGCTTAAAAATTTCTTGAAACAATCAATGTCAGAGTAACGTTTTGAGTAGGAGGAATTACTTCTTTTTCACAAAAATGAAGCTTCGAGACTGTTTGGTAGAAGGGCACAACAAGATGCACGTTATATAATCACTGTGTACTTTTACAAATTGCAAAGCTTGTTCAGAGCTGTCAACATGTACTATAATAATAAATAATAATAAATCATTTTATTTTTCTCTTCACAAAGGTATATAATTTCACATTATTTCTTAAATAATACGGTTGTAGATAATTTTGACCTTTGTGAGAGACTGGTGTCCATACTAGGGTAATCCCTGTGTTATAGATCACCAGGCCCTCATCCTAACGGATAGCACGTATTACATTTTCAAATATACTACAAGTTTTACATATATACTACAAGTTACATTTTCAAATAACTACAATATTTCAAATATACTATGTTACGAGATTGGATAAGGAGGGTTTATATAGTACTGTTGCCCGCCACAATTAATACCTGGTACATGGCGACACTAGTTACCACTAGCGCCTTCTAGTATCGAGTAGCAGACCTAGGAGTGTCAAAGTTCTTCTAGAAATGCTAGAACTTTCTGGAACTATCGACACCTAGTCAGTCGGGACCGGTATGTACTCGAACATTCAGTATGTAAACATTCAGTTCGTAATAGTACTATAGAAAATACAAAATACTAGTGATGCAACGAATACTACTTTTACGAATACGATTACGAATTCGAATATCAAACCTACTATTCGGCGAATATGAATACGAATATCTGCCATTGTACTGAAAAACGAATCTATTTGATGATTTTCTATTGTTCTAATAATTAAAATTTACATCAGGCAAATTTTTATTTAAAAAACATAAAATTTGTAGATTTTCTGGTTTTAGGCGATTTCTTTTGTCAGTCTGG